CCCCCCCCCCCCCCCCGCCGGTGCCTGCAGGCTCGCGGGCCCTGCCTCCCGGGCCGCTCGGGACCGCGGGGCTCGCCGCGTGCAGTCACGGATGAGTAGGTGGCCCGCGTGTTTCGGCCTCAGAACACTTTCACCCTCTGAAGAGCCAGAGGGGAGCGAGGCAGCTGTGTTCGTGTCACAGGAACAGACACGCACTGTCTTTGAAATTAAAACCGAGGAGTCAGCGTTGCTCTTTAGGCGCAGCCGCAGGCGTCGGCGCTGGTGGATGGCGGTGGCCCGGTGGCCGCAGTGGGACCGGGTGGGATCGCCCTGAGAGCTGGAACCCCGTCTAAATAACTTTTTTTAAAATAGGTTTTTATTATAGGGCACGTGCACTCACCAGAAAGACAAGAGAGACATAAAACGAGAAATCACCCCCCTGGGGGGAGACCGACCGCCACGCCGCAATCCCTTCTCCTCCATTCTCTCTGGTACGCAGGCACACGCGCCGGCATGAGATTAAGCCACCAGGTCAGGACTCGAACCGAGGTTGACTACATGAGTCCAGTGACACAGCCATTACACCAACTGCTGGTCCCAATAACTCATCCTTTTAAACTACAGTACCACTTCAGGCTGACGAGCTTTATGAAAACAGTATTTTCCCAAACAAGCAAACCAAGTAGTGAACAGAGTGGGAGCGTCCCCACGTGCTCGGCTCTCGACCATGGCTGGCTTAGTAGGCCAGCCGGGTCTCACGTCTGCTGCTTCTTCAGTACGTTTTGCTCACGCTGTCCCCTGCCCTCAAAGTGCACCCCTACTTCTCTCCACTCACCCAACCCCATTTCGCTAATCAGAAAGTCTAAGGACCCGAAGGTGAGGATACAGAAATAAAATGGGAGATGGGTGATAGAGGGCAGATGGTGGTCCTCGAGGAGGCTGGAAGAGGACACACTGCCTACTTCCTCTTCCTCCCAAGAACCAACCTGATGACTAAACAGTGCTGGAAAACAAAGGGGCATTAGTAGATCAGAAGCTTGGGACTTCTGGAAAGTAAGGAGCAATTGGAATCACACTGGGAGAAGCAAGAGCGGCCATGAGGGACACCAGGGCCAGGAGCTTCTCCGGAGGCCGGCAGAAGGGCCCATGCACTTATCCTTGGGCAGCTGCCCACCTCTCCTTTCCACCTGGTGGCTGGGCTGCCTGTCCTGGGCACAGCTGCACTGCTGCTTTCTGAAACAAGTGGAAGGCTCCTGCTTAGCAGCAGCGCGGAAATACACTGAAGAGGCGTTCCAAGAAAGTGGCTCTTGTGGGTTATTGTGCAGGTCCCCAACCCGCCAGCTGGTTCCCTGCTCAGACTCCAGGCAGGCCAGCTTATCGGCACAGCCAGCCTGCTCAGGCCACCCTCATGGAGACTTCCAGCTGTAGAAGCGCTTCCTACAAGGGTGGGGACTCGGCCTCATTATCTACGCTCAACTCAAGTGTCAGAGGCGGTAGGGATGGGACTAGATCCGACCCTCAAACCGGAGCTCTAAGATGAGCCGGGGTACACGTGCTGACCAGTCTGGCAGACCACTCTGGGTCAAAAGTGAGTACATAAGGATTTAGTAAGTTCTGCTGAAGTCATTTAGAAATGACAGGCTAATATGTGAGAGGAAAAAAAAGACAGGCTGAGCGTTTACGGATCTCTGTGGCTCTTTTTCTGTCTCCAGCAAGCACAAACGTCCTTCAGCCAAAATAAGTAATCTTGTGAAATTAATTTTATTTAAACAAGAGTATTGAAAATATTACTATGTCAACATTTCATAAACAAAGTTAATGAAATATTTTACATTCTTCTTCATACTAAGTCATTGAAAGCTGGTGTGTTTATATACTGCACATTTCAATTCAGATATGCCATTGTTACTGAAAATAACTTCTCTACTGTTTACATAAAACTGAATAATCCAAACTTAGATTTCCCAGTGACTGAACAAATAAAACGAGAAACTCAGTGCCTGTCACACAGACGGTCCCCGTGTGGATGACCACGTATACTCCTTGTGGCCACTGTACTGGCAGCAGGTGTGGGTCAGGATGCGGCGTCCACTGTGGCGGGAGTGAGGGCAGTGGGAGGGCAGCAACAGCAGCGTGGAGTGCAGGGAAGAGGAAAGCCGCAGACATGTAGGCTCCGTAGGCAAGTCCCACTTAGGGACCATCTTCCAGTCCTCAGCAGTGAGTGAGGTAAGGCTGTCCAGAGAGACGCCCTTCTTGGCATGATTGCCGCCGACCTTAGGTACCCTGGCGCCGTTTCTGAGGTAGGGAGAGGTTCTGGCAGTGCCGGTCACATGGAGCACCTCTGGGTAGAACCTCTCGTGCACGTTGTGGACGTTGAGCAGGCCAGGAGTGTCCTACAGACCAGTGATTCTCAAATGGGGGAAGTTTTGCCATCAGGGAACATTTGCCCCTGAAGTGGTCTGGAGGCTTTTTTGGTCATGGAATCTATTGGGTGGAGGCCAGGGAACCCTACAAGGCAGAGGACAGTCCACAATGAAAACTGGCCCCAAATGTCACGAGAACAGCCTGAGAAACATTGCCACAGACTCGGGTAAGAGATTGAGACACCTGCTCTCCTCAGACCTCAGCCTAACCCCGCCAAGGGATGACAGGTTCCAGTTGTGTTCTGTTAAGAGACTTGTGATGACAAACACTGTCATGGTCGGGGTGAGGGTGGGCCACTTGACAGCATGTGCAGTGTGTGCAGTGCAGCACTAGCCATGCGCCCAGCCTCTGCTGGGTCGAGGTCGGTGTCAGAATGACTCACCTCAGCTACCTGCAGCACCCCCAGCATGTGCTTGACCCTGCTCCTTGTCTCTCTGTCTTGCTTCCCCTGCTTGCCAACGCCCTCGTGTACTGCCCACAACTCCTCCCAACACTCAGCTGGTTCCTCCACTCAGAGCTGAGGTCCCCACTGGAGTCCTCATCTGTATCTCAGCGGCCCCCAATTCATCGTTCTGGGCCAGTGGGTGGCAGGGTGATTAAGGCAGGCAGGTCACATACAGCCAACCACATGGTTTGAAAACCATGCAGGTGGTGTGTGTGGTGTAAACTCAAAACCCTGAAGGAATGGAGAAGGAAATGTGGCCCGACCATCGCGGGGAGGAAGGGAGGTGTGTTCCACTTTCCCTCTACCTCTCTCTCCAGGGACTGCATGTACCCCTGGCCAACTTAAAAACAGAGAAGCCCAGAAGATTCACCTGCCTATAGCAGTAGACATGAAAGCAATTACAGTGGCTTTCCTGATCTCAAACATAATACCGTCACCAAGAGGTCATTAGCTTGCTTCTGCTCATTCTGGTGACGACTATTCCTTGAGTAGGTCTACGAACCAGAGGTCCATGGGAGGTTGAATGTGGGGTGAGTCTGGCTGCAATTCCTGTCATTCTCAAACAGGATGTGAGGCTGTTGCAAGTTGGTGAGCCGCTAATGCTTTCAGGAGCCACAAGAAAACAAGCTTGTTCACTACCCTGAAGCAGGGATGTTGCAAGAGCCCGTTTCTCATTAGTGAAGGCTATGTGACAGGGGCTGCCGTTTTGGAAAGGTAACTGCATTTTTCATTACAGCTAGGCAGTCATTCAGACTTTCAACTAATTAGATCTTTCGTACTTCAATAATCATGCTCGGGCCATCAATGGTTGGTTTAGTAGTTAAGTGCTTGGACCCACCTGGCCCACTGTGACCTGAGTTCTGGGCCTGGCAGACTCCAGGCACACGTGCAGGTGCGCCCAAGATCCTGAGGGGAATGGAGAAAGGATTGCAGCATGGCCACTCCCTGTAGGGTGTGCTTTCTCACCTTCTTTCTATCTGGTGAGTACACATACCCAGGAGCAAACAAATAAAATATAAAAATCATATTCTCATTATAATATGCTCCTTTATAAAGGCTGAAAGTGCTATAAAGGCATTATATTCTTCTGTGGTGTCTGCATTCTTTATTTTAATTTTTGCCACAGGGCACAATATGCTTGCTGGAGAGACCAAGGGGAAGGAGAAACCACCCCACTGTGGGGAAGGCCACTCTGCAATCTCTTCTCCATTCTCCTCTTGGGTTTTGGGAACGCACACATTTCCAGGGTTTTTCAAGCCACTGGGTCTGGGACTCGAACTGCTGAGTTGGCCTTAACCATTCCGCCACCTGCTGGCCCAGCATCTGCATCTTCTCTCTTGTTCTAGGGCAGCCCCTCAGGTGTCTCTGCAGCTGCCTTCCTGAGCTCAGAATCACACGTTAACAGGGCCAGAGAGCCCTTAGCAGGGATTCAGACGACAAGGTCCTTTAGACTCCTCTCCACGTGAGGGTGGTCTGCGTGTGCTCTCCAACATAGGAGCTGCTAATGGGGCCACTGAGCACACGAATGTGGCGAGTGTCACCGCACTGGCTGCCATGATGGGCGGCGCCACTGTGGATGGTCACTCTCCACCCCTCAGCGATTTATCAGAGGTCTAGACCCTAACACTGCTGGCCCCTCCCAGAAGCCCCCACTGACCACCCAAGGCCTCCCCTTCCACTCTGCTTTCCTCAACCTGCTGTCTTTTCTGATGCTTTTTTCCCAGGATTTTGCTATAGGGTGTGTGTGCTCACCAAAGACAGAGAACAGAAAGTGAGAAATCACCCCCCAGGGGAATGGCCACGCTGTAATCCCTTCTCCTCCATTCTCCTTTCGGGATCTTGGGCACACGCACATGGGCCCAGCATGAATTTAAGCCACTGGGTCCAGGACTTGAACCGTGGTCGACTACGTGGGAGTTCAGCGACGTAGCCATTAGACCATCTGCTGCTCCCTGTTTTTTTCTTTTTTAATCATTGGCAAACAAAAAATTTCCACAAAATTATCTCACTCCATTTTAAAAAATGGATATTTATGCTATTATGCTAATGATGATGGAGAACAAATAATTAACTGTTTTAGTTCTTAGTTTCAAAAGCAGATTTCATCTGTTTTAGCTTTCAAAACATGGCTGGTAGGCTGTTCTCAACTGCACTAGCCAAATGGCGGAGAGGCTGCACGGACGGCCAAGTCAGAGGCTGGAGCAGAGCACTGCTGACCGTCTCTACCGGGAACAGCAGTCGTGGCTGCAGGTGAGCAGAGCTCTCAGTGGACAAGGCTTCTGACAACTACCCTGACGCCCCCCGTACCTGTGCTGTGAACTTGAGAATTCGGAGGTGGGTTTCTACACAGTGGGTTTCCCAGAGGCAGAGTAGAGTTCAAGGAGGCTGATGCTCTGCACGTTCAGGCAGTGCACACTGCCTACACAGTGCATCTGTGCTGCTCCGATACCTGAGGCCTGAGGAGCCGAGGCCCTGCGTTCCCCCATGCTAGCACAGGTTCTCTGCTGCGTGGATTCTGTGATGTCTGATGAGGGCTGAACTCACGCGGAAGGGCCTCCCACACTCGTCACACTCGTAGGGTTTTTCGCCCGTGTGGATCCTCTGATGCTGAATGAGGCCTGTTCGCCCGCTGAAGTCCTTCCCACACTCTCTGCACTTGTAGGGTCTCACTCCGGTGTGTACTCTGTGATGTCCAAGGAGGTGTGAGCGCTGGACGAAGGCTTTTCCACACTGCTCGCACTTGTAGGGCTTCTCTCCGGTGTGAGTTCTCCTGTGCTTACTGAGGTCTGAGCTGTGACTGAAGTGCTTTCCACACTCATCACATGCATGGCGTCTCCTCGCCCCCTGCTGCTGTCTCAGTCCACCCTCACTGCCGACAACATCTCTGGACTCTGGATGCTGAAGAGAGCCTTCGTGAGGTTTGTCCTCCAGCTCTCCACAGAGATCCACATCTCTGGGCCTTTCTTCCTCCTGGGACAGCTCTGTACCCTTGGTTCTGGTTTTGTCACCTGCAATTAGCAAAGAGTACATAGCAGGTCCTACTCTAGGTCTGAGGAGCAAAAAGCCGAAGGAAGAACGAATGTGTAAATAAAGAGGAGTCACAGTGCGGGGACCGCCATGCGGGTACTGCCTCATTTTCCATACCATCGCAGCAGTCGCGACACACGGGGTCTCAGAGGCAGCAGGGTAAGTTAGCCGAAAAGATCAAGAGAGGAGGAAGCAAGCGTGGACCTAGGGCTTCCTGGCAATCGCGCACAAAGCAAGATGGTCAGTGGGCATTACCAGAAATGCAGGACAGCAGGACAGCAGAGGGAGTGAGGGGTCGAAGAGCTGTGGTGGCGAGGGAAGCAAGTTTGGGAGAAACATGTAAGGGCCTGGAACAGGATGAGGAAACGTGACTGGAGGGTGGAGACTTGGGTCTGAGAGGAACCCTCCCAAGAGGGGAGCCTGTGTGAAGGAGCGGACTGCTGGAAGCAGAGTGAGTGCACACAAGTCTGGGAGGAGGGAGGAGGGGCACAGGTGCGTGCCTGGTCTGGGGTCTGCACTGGGTCTTCCTGAAACTGACGTGCCCACTGTCACCTCTTCCTGTCTGTGTACTAGCTCGTGGTTTCTTCAGTTTGCTCGAGGGCTGTACATTCACTAGAGAGAGAGAGGAAACGTGCAAAAGCAATCCTCGTGGGGATGGCCATGACACAGTCCCTTCTCTTTCATTCCTTCTGGGTTTGGGGCATGCATGCACACACATTCGGTGTGTTTTTTAAGCCACTGGGGCTAGGACTCAAATATGTCAGATCTAGTTGCTTTAACCACCATGTCACTGGCTGGCCCCAAATATATAAAGGAAGCTGAAGGCGGGGCCAATAGGTGGCATAATGATAAAGGCACTGGATTCCCATAAGGTCGACCACAGTTTGAATCCCGGACACAGTGGCTTGAAAACTGAGCCTGACACACGTGTATGTGCCAAAATCCCAAGAAGAGAGTGGACCCCCCCTGGGGGGTGATACCTCACTTTCTCTCAGGCAAGCACACACACCGTAGGGAAAAACAAAAGAGAAGGAAGAGACACCAGAAGTGTGTGCAGCAGACAAGGCCAAGTGAAGACACACAAGAAGTCTGTACCCAGGAGAGGCCTCGGCAGAAAGCAACCCTGTCAGAACCTCACCCAGGGGTTCCATCTCCGGAACTCTGAGAAAACATATTTCTGTGTTTAAACCACCCAGCCTACGCTGCTCTTTGATGGCAATCCTAGCTAACTAATACAGGGTCATAAATAATTCTCCAGTCTCCAGGTGGAAATTCAAGGGAATTTGAAACTGGAGTCATTAAGTAACCATAGATAGATGTATAAGGTATTATTAACTTGAGTATTTAAACCCCACCTTCTACCCCTTGGGACAAGTACCTTTTATGTCTAGTGAAAAGCAAAAACATGTCTTTCTGTGATGGAGCAACTTAAGAGGATGAAGTTCTCTACAGTGACATGGAAGACAGGCAGGAAGTCTTTCAAAGAGGATGATGAAAGTGAGAAAGCTCCCTCTGACCTAAGGAACCCCCCCTTCCCTCGTGCACACCAAGCTCTGGCCCCTTACCATTCCCATGTGGCTTCCCCCATTCCTGCTGCAGCTGGGCCTCCTTGGGTTGGAGCTGGACAGTCAGCAACTCCCGTGGCCTTTCCCCGAGGACCGGCGTGTTCGGGACTATGTCCTCTCTTTCTGAACTGGCTGGGATCTAGGAACAAGGAGGTATGATGGCTTATAAGGTAGTCTTGTGGGAACTGAGGACACTTCAGATAAATGATAACAAGAAGCAAATGCCAGGGACACAGGAAAGGGGACAAACTCATTTAATTATAAACAGCAATAAGGACTGAAAAAGTGAAGAGTGAAATTCAATGTCTCTTCTCCCGTTGAACTGCAGACGTTCAGGGGCACATAATATTGGGATTTGAAAGACACTTTAGAAAGGTCTAACCCAATCACACAATTGTAAACATTTCTTCTATAAACCATGATGTCCCACTAAGGTAGCCAAGTGCAATTACTAAGTACTTAAAATGTAGCTCGTACAAACTGAGATAGGCCCAAGTCTAATATTAATAGGTCGAATACCAAAAACTCCCAAACAAAAAAACCCAAATCCCCAAATAACCTCATTTGGGTTATAAAATACCTCATTTGAAAGTTTTTATTACAGGGCCAGTGAGTGGTTAAGGTAGCTAGATCCCACATTGCCAACCGCATGGTTCAAGTCCTCCACCTGGTGGTTTGAGAAATGTGCCAGGGGCCCATGCACACATGCCCCAAATCGAAGAGAATGGAGAGAGGACAACAGCGTGGCCACTTTCTCTCTCTCTGGCCCCTCCAGCAATCAACCAATCAATCGATCAATCAAAGGACCAGTAGAAGGTGTAGAGATTACATTGCTGGCTCCTACTTGCAGTTCAAGTCCTGGACCCAGAGGCTTGAAACTCACACAGTGTGTGTATGTGTGTGTGTGTGCGTGTGCCCCAAATCCCTAAAGAATGGAGGAGAAGGGAGTGTGGCACGGCCATCTCCCCTGGGGGGTGATTTCTTGCTTGCTTTCTCTGTCTCTGTTCTATAGCAAAAAAGAAAAAAACAAAACAAAACAAATCTCTCTTTAAAAAGATTAAAGTACATGCTTATTTTGGTGTAAACATATTTTAACACCCACGCACGTCTTTTCATGACATGCATTTCCCACCACCTATTAAAGACTCCTCCTATCTTCTTCTTTGGAACGTGCCACTGATCCCAGCGTCCCAAATGACCGAGCCGCGCCTGCTGGGCCTGGGCAGCCTAGCCTTGCGCCTCGCTAGGGTGCAGGTGTCAGACACAGTCAGCTGCTCTTCCATGTGCCTTTCGCTCTGGAGTGGTGCATAAACCCTGACCACCCACAGCAAGGACCCCCCACTTCACACCTGCTTCTGGGGTTCATCGAGCTCTCTCTCCAGCTCTTCCAGAACGGTCACCGCCTGCTCTCCAGTCTCGGGGTGGTGCGCCTGCACCCAGGCCCGCAGGTCCCTGGGGAGAATGCTCAGGAACTGCTCCAGCACCAGCAGGTCCAGAATCTGCTCTTTGGTATGGCTCTCCGGCCTGAGCCACTGGCGGCAGAGCGCCCGGAGCTGGGCCAGGGCTTCGCGCGGCCCCGGCGCGTCCCGGTAGCAGAGCTCCCTGAAGTGCTGGCGGAAGAGCTCTCTCCTGCGACCGCGGGGCTGCGGGGCCCGGTATGGCCCCCGGAAACGGGTCCCCGCCGGAGGCGCCCCCAGATCCTCCGGCCGCAGGGCTGTGGCCATTCCGGGCGG